CCAAGCATGGGTAAATGCCTGTAATCCCAGCACTAGGGAGGCTAAGGCAGGAAGACTGCATGCATTCAAGGCTAGCTTGGACCACATAGTAAGACCCTGTCTCAAAAAACCAACCAACCGGGGCTAGGGAATTTAGCTCAGTGGTTCTGCTGCCTGTCTTGCAAGCGCAGGGACCCGAGTTCAATCCCCAGTACCCAAAAAGAAAAAGAAAACAAAAAACAAACAAAAAAACCCAACCAACCAAACAATACATACAAAACTCTGGCTAAAAGTAGCAAGCAGTATGCTGGCCACAGCCCTAACAGTGGGCTGCCTTGAAATTTCCTTCACCAGACTAGTCTACTGCCTTGTATCTCAGGCTCTTGCAAAGTCTCTGGACATGAACAAAACATAAGACAAATTTTCTGCCAGAGCATAACCAGTCTGGAGTCCAACTGCCAATGGAGTCCTTCATAACTAAAACATCTGAAGTCTCCTGAGCCTGGTCTTTACTGTCCACATTTTTATCAGCATTCTGAACTCCAACCGCAATCTCCTATGAAGCTCAGCTGATGGAAATCTAGAGCTGCTTCTCTAGCATCTCAAACTTTTCCAAACTCCTGCCACTATCCCAAGACCAGTACTCCTCTGAAGGAGCAGAAAGGCAGGCTTCTTTTTCTTTGTATTCCATTCAGGCTACAAGCCTATGGGTGGTGCCATCCACATCCAAGGTATGTCTTCCATCCTTAGTTTTCAGCCTACATTTCAGTCATCCACAGACACATTCCAAACAGTGCATCACTAGGAGTCTTTTCTTTTGGACAGAGTCTTGCTTTGTAGTTCTTTATAGTAAGCTTTATAGTAAGCTTTGCATTTACTATACAGCCTAGACTGGCCTTGAATTTGTGGCAATTCTCCACCTCAACCTCTGGAGTGCTGGGATTGCCACCACACCTGACTACTAGGCTGTGTACTACTATGCCTGGCTACTAGGTTTTCTTAGTCCATTCAAGTTGACATGCTATCGGGGAGGAACTTCAGACAAGGAAGGCTTCAAGGAGAAAGTGGCATAAAACTGGGCTTTTGAAGGGCAAGTGAAGTTAGATGGAGAAGGGCATTATGGTAGCAGAGACAAAAAAAGTGCCTCTAAATCTGGAAGGACCCAAGTACAGTAAGTCCTTGACTTATGGAGTTCTGTTCCAGAAGAATGTTCCCAAGTCAGATTAAGTATATTTGACACAAATATACAATGTGTATTGCTTCATATTGCTTTATACTTCCTAGCAGTTCCCTCCACATCACCACTGCTTTTATTCTTGCTTCTGGACATCCTAGACTCTTAATGAGCAATGTCCTATTGTATACTATCACATTGTACAGTAAGCACACAGCAGCACGACCATGAGTGTCTGGGAGATATGTGAGCTATGCCTGCAATTTGTTCATATCTACAGATGTCTATAATGTGAGGACTGTTCATATCTGTGAAAGTTCATAATCTGAATGTTCGTAAGTTGGGGACTTGGCTGTAGTCAAGTATAGCTGGAATGAAGTAGGAGTAGGTAGAGTATAGGCGAAGGTTAGAGGAAGAAAATTAGAAGGTAAACAGTGACAGACTGAACTCCCTGTGGGTGGGCATGGTGATGCACACCTGTAATCTCAGCACTTGGGATGCTGAGGCAGGAGGATTACCATGAGTTTGAGGCCCGCCTGGGCTAAATAGTGAGTTTAAGGCCAGCCTAAACTACATAGTGAGACCATCTCAAAAAAAAGAAAAAGAAAAAAAAAAAAAAAGAAAGAAAGAAAGAAAAAAAAAAAAAATCCCTGTGAAGGAATTTGGGATTTACAATGGAGGAAATGGGGAGCCATTAATGCATAGATCAGTGGTGGATAACCTACAACCCAGAGCTCTGTGAGCCAAGTGGCAGTTTTTTTTCTAAACTAAAACCTCAGTATTCAGGTTTAATTGTAGTGTTGGCACTCTGAGATAAGTAATGGGTTTTGTGTTGCAGTTTAGGCACCAAAAGCTTAGCCATCACTAGCCTAGGTCAATGTTGAAGAGGAGTAAGAATTCAGGCATAATATATAGAATTGGTACAGAGAAATTAAGAGGCAGAGATTAATGTAGTAGGATGGAAGGACATAGCAAGAACAATCTGCACCCACTTTAGGAATATTTCATTTCTACACAGTGAGCACTGTGCCTGGTATATCTGAGGTAATGCATTTTTTTGCCAGTTAAGTTAAACATTTAAAAAAAGAGAACCAGAGACTAGATTGGGGCGGGGGAAAAGAAACAAGGTCTTGCTATGTATTCTAGGCTGCCCTTGAACTATGTAACTCAAGCAGGCCATGAATTTATGGCAATCTTCCTGCCTCAGCCTGCTGAGTGCTGGAATTACAGCCGCACACCACCATGCCTGGATTGTGCATTGTCTATAATGTCCCTACTTTGACCTTGTCTGTTTTCCTCTGATTAACAATAAATTCCCTTAGAATTAAAAGACCCATATTCTTTTTTTTAGTGAATTCTGAGTTAGCCAAAATGGTGGCCAAATTAGGGAGACAATGACCTCCTCATGGCTCTATTTGTGAAACTTTATAGTTCTATGTTTTGAAGCTAGGAAGTTTTTAGTCTAGGTTCTGATTACCTGATGTCCATGTGACCTTAGGAAAGTTCCTTGTTTGTAGGCCTTATATTTCTCACCTATAAAATGAATTAGTAATAAAATTTGCCTCACAGGGTTAAGTGAATTAAAGACATGACTGAAAGCACTCAGCATGTTGTGTGGTATACAGCAGGCTCTCAAAAGAAGTTTCTTGGGCCAAGGCTTTAGCTCACTGGTTCTTCTTTCCCCATTCCCTATAGTTGGGGGAAATAATATAATGACCCCAAGGAATTCTTCAAAATAGAGCATTTGTCTCTGCAGAGAAAGCCACAAAGTTATAAAATTTATTAAAGGCTGAACAAGTCATGGAAGGACTGCTATGCATTACTCTGGCATAAGAGTGAGTGCTGGGGGCTGAGGATGTAGCTCAGTGGCACAGCACCTGCCTGGCAAGTGTAAGGTCCTGAGTTCAATCCCCAAAAGAAAGAAAATAAAGAGTGCTGGACTGCAGGTGTAACTCAATGCTACATGTGTGCTTAGCATGATGAGGCCCTGGTTCAATCTCCAGCCCAGGGGTGGAAAAAGTGAATGCTACCTCCGACGATTTTGTTCTCTTAACCTGAGAGTGAATTTTGTCAATGTACTGTCAATATATGTAAACCCTACAATTACAGGTTCATTGTAGCTTCCAACATCTGCAGCTAAATGAAGCTTGAATATTGAATTCACAGTGTAGAAAATGTGCTAAACAAAGGATTATTTTAATAAAATAATTTTCATTATTGATTCCAGAATCTTTAAAATGAATAATATTTGAATATTTCTATTATTAGAAGCAAGGTGACTTAAATAAAAATAAAAAGGAAAGTTTATAATTCAGTTGGAGCCATTCTTATTACCAGCTGATATAAGAATGATAAGAAACTTCTAGTTCAGTAGGAAAAACATTAGGTTGGGGGTTTGGAAATCGGGGATTCAGTTAAGATCTGTGATTTACCATGTTTGACTGTGGAGATGTCACTTAACCTCTGGGTCTCCACTTCATTGTTTGTAAACTGAGGGGTGTAGCTCAGATATATAGTGGTTATAGCCGGGGTGCACATTAAAATCATCCATGGGCATTTTAAAGAACATATGTGATCTTTATCTTTGTGGGTAGTGCTAGTAGTGCTTCCAGTGAGCTGTGACCCAATTTATGTTACATCCGTAACGTAAAGCTCTCAATTCTTAAAAACCAGATCACCTAATAACGAAGGCATGAGCAATAGCTCATACTTCAACTGCAGCTTCAATGTATACAGGAGAGGGGCTGGGGATTTAGCTCAGTGGTTTCAGCACCTGCCTTGCAAGCACAATGACATGAGTGTGATCCCTGGTACCGAAAACAAACAAACAAAAAACAAAAATGTATACAGGGGCAAGACATTTACTAAAGCAAACTTATTCACCTGGTCAAAGTATACTTATTAGTGTCTTGTGTCAATTTTGCCTGTACTACAGAGCCTAGAAGCTGATCCTAGCACTATGTAATGAAACTATCATCAGAGCTTTTTATTTTCTTCATACCTTATACCAATTAATAGTTAAGTCCCACTGATTTCTACAACCACAATCTTCTCCACTGGTCTAGTCCTTTCTGTCTTCACTACTTGTAGTTTAGTCAAATCCATCACCATTTCTCTCTGACCTAACCCCATGATCTCCTTGTTTCATTTCAATGAGTCCATCAGCATAAATGGTTAAGATTCTTTTTTTTTTTTTGGTACCAGGGATTGAACTTGGGACCTTGTGCTTGTGAAGCAAGCAGTGGAACCACTGAGCTAAATCTCTGGCCCTAAGAGTCTTAACTTCAAGGGCTGGGGCTGTAACTCAGCAGTAGAGCAACGGCTTACCATGTGTGAGGTCCTAGCATCTCTATAAACACCAATGAAATTCAAAGTCAGGTCATGTCTGACTGCTTAAAACTCTCTGGTATCTTACTACAAGGAAATTCCTAACTGTAGCTTCTAACATGCTGCATGATAATAGGGGTCCAGCTACTTCTCTAACCTCACCTCCTCTCCCTCTCCCTCTCCCCCACTGTGTCCCAGCTACATCAGCTTTGGTTTTGTTTCTAATATGCCCCGCCATGCCTTTTCCTCCCTGACAGCTGGCCTACTAACTGTACCTGCACCTTTGAGATGTGGAGGAGAATGACCAGCCAGAATAAAGAGGCCAGAAGTCACTCTTTATCACTCAAATTCCAATTCCTTCCCTAATACTCATGTCTATCTGATAGATTTTAAAAAAATGATTTTGCCTGTTGTTTAGTATTCTCCTCCTAGCTCTTTCACTCCCTCTCACACCCTCTCTAAAACAAGAACGTAGCTTCGTTAAAATAAGAGCACAAGGGACCTTGTCTGCCTTGTTTACCTTGGGGCCTGAAACAGTTCCTGTCCTGCAGGCATTCCACATATATTGTAGAATAAATGAATAACTAATGGAGCATCGATCTCAATATAAATCAAGTTCTGCAGAGAAATGTTTACATTTACAGAATCTTAGTAGTATAAGAATCTTTACTATCCATGCTAGTTGAACTTTCCACTCCAAAAAATTCTCCATTTCTGTTCCCATGGAAAAAGATGTAGAGCTTGATGCACAAGTAGCTGTGTGAGACTGAAAGAGAAATAGATAAATCATGGGTACAATACAGAAACAAATCCGTGTACATATATTAGAAATTTAAAGTATGATGATGGAGCCATTACAGATCAGTGGGAGAAATTATGTTTATTCCAGTGTTTTCAGTGCGTTCCATTGAACGGTGTGTTCCGTAACAGCAGTGCTAGCTAATGGGACTTCCTGTGATAATGGGAATATTTTTTTTTTTTTTAAAGCAGTGGCAAAGTTTATCTGAAAAAGTAAAAGTAAAGAGTAAGGGAGAAACTGGCTCTATGAAGCATGCTTGGGCCAAATAAAAGAGGAAAAAGCAAGATAAAAGTACACCCTGGAGGAATCAGGGCGGGCTATGGTGAGGAAAGCCACAACAGTCAATGGCAATATTCTTTATCTGCAATGTCCAATATTGTAGCCACTGACCATTGTGGCTACTGAGCACTTGAAATGTGGCCAGTATAACTGAGAAATACTTAAATAAAATTAAAATTTAAAGAGTTACATGTGGCCAGAGGCTAGTTTATTGAATAGCTCAGTTCCACAGGCTTTCTAGCTATATCCTTGGGGAGAAAAAAAAAGACATAGTTAAATAAATTAGGTGAATGCTAAGTTCTAAAACTCCTTATTATAAATTCATAATGGGTACAGGCACACTGAAGGACAGAAGTTATTCAATAATAAGCCATTTTGAGGTGGCACATACTTGTAATACCAGTACTTGGGGGGCTGACGCAGGAAGATCCCAAGTTTGAGGCTAGACTGGGCAAGTTAGCAAGACCCTGTCTGTTTTTTTTTTTTTTGGTACTGGGGATCAAACTCAGGCAGGCATGGTGCCACTGAGCTATATGCCCAGCCCGACCCTATCTTAAAACATAAAAAAGGCTGGGCATGTATCTCAGTGATAGAGTATGTGGCTAGCATGTATAAGGAAGGCCCTAGGGTTGGAGCCCTAGTACTCCAAGGAAAAAGGAAAAAAAATGTTCAATAATAAAAAATTTATTTGACCATTTTTGAGCTGATCTTTTCCATAAAATACTTTGTATGTTATTGTGGAATACCTATTAACATCTTGTTGCCTATGCACTGGAGTTTGGGATATACTTGCTGGAATAAGCAGTGTCAGAACAATTATAACAATCTGATTAAAAATTAAGTTAAAGGGGCCGGGGATTTAGCTCAGTGTTCAGTGGCCTGCCTTGCAAGTGCAAGGACCCGAGTTCAATCCCCAGTAGCCCCCCCAAAAAAATTAAGTTAGGGTACTAGGTGATGTCAATTACATTTCAGAAAAAATAAAATTTTCAGTGTTAAAAAGTGAAATAGACAGACATGGTGGTACATGCCTGTAATCCCAATACTTGGGAGGCGGAGGCAGGAGGATCACTGAGTTCCAGGCCAGCCTGGGCTACATAGTGTGTTCAAGGTCAGCCCATAGTGAGACCCTGTGTCAAAAGACAAAACAAAACAAAACAAAACAAAGTGATATACAAGGCTGGAAGTACAGCTTATGACATACAGAAAGCCTGGACTCAATTCCCACTATCACACATACACACAAAAGCGAAACAGAAAAAAAGAGTAGGGCTAGGGGTGTGGCTTAGTAGTTGAGTCCTTCTCTAGCATGCTTGAGGCCTTCAATTCCTAGCAATGAAAAAAAAAAAAAAAAAAAGCCTAGGACATGCTGTGAATAGGACAGTTATACAACACTTGTATAATAAAAATACACATGAAAATAAGAGCAAAACCCATCAAAAGTTTAAATACAGCTTTCTTTAGGAAATAGGACTAATATACTTATTTGCTTTTTTGGACAGTGCTTAAATTCTTCACCCTTTTCTTTTTGGAGGGCTGTAGATCAGAGGCTCCCCCCACCTTTCTTTTTATAATTGGCATAAACAGTCAATACAACTATTTCTATTTTGGGAAAAAAAGATGGATGTACCCCTCCTACTTTTTTTTTTCTTTTTATTGAGTTTATTGGTACAATCTAGGTATACAATAGTTACATTCATCATTGGGATTCTGTACCTTTACATAATAGGTCTTGATTCCCATTTTTTCCCCTTGTCCCTGCCCTCCCTTTACCCACCCCCCTTTTTTTTTTGGTACTGGGGATTGAACTTAGGACCTTCAGTTTACAAGGTGGTGGGCGAGGTGCCACTAAGCTAAATTCCCAGCCCTACCCCTCTTACTCTTACACTGACCTTCTATTCCCTGGAAAGAATGAAGTTTAATCTCTCTTCCAATATCCTTCAAACACATGAAAAAAAATAATTTGATGTTTATAAAAATTAGATGATTATGTCCAACTTCTGATGTATGATTCCATTTGAATTTTTCACAAAAAAGATCATATCCAAGAACAAATGTGCTTTTCATGGCAACAGAAGCAGAAATATTTTCAGGAAGGAAGTTCAAGTTGTTTTTTGGCTTCAGTTTTCCCTAATTAAATGTTTCCTTTTAATGCTCAGCCTAAACCATCAGAGATTAGTATGATGTGGCATGTAAAAAGTACCAGAAGATTTATATAACTGGAGTACAGAGATTAGATTTTCCTCATTCTTATATTTTCAGTGTCTGACAAAGTGGAGTTTTTGTAGTACATGGTTTTCCTGAGCAAAATACAGAAGTGAAATCTGTTTTGAAAAACCACTAAAAACACAAATTTGTTTCAAACACTGGAAATTTATAAATTGAAACTATATTTCTCAAATATCAACTGTACAAATAGCAGAATTCAGTTCTCAAAACAGGAAGACTCGTTGGTGTGAGTAAAATACCCAGTTAAACTCTATTGCCAGAATTCATTTGATTCTGCTTGGGCCAGGAAATGAGGGACCTTTTAGGGTGTCTTCTAACACTACACCTTTCCATTGACTGTTCCATAACTGATACAGCTGTCAATAGCTAAAATGTCATCAACCATAAAAATAATCTCATTCCTAGTTTACCATTTTTATCTCAAGGTTCCAGCTATAATTGTGTCATATTTTTTTCCTCCTTATTACATAGTTGGTGTGTATCAAGTACAGAATTTCTTTTTTTTCTTTCTTTTGTGGTACTGAGGATTGAACGCAGGGCTTTCAAGCTAAGATGCATTCTCAGTTTTTAAATTTAATTTGATTTTTTTGTTTGTTTTTTTGAGACAGGGTCTCACTATGTAGTTGAGACTGATCTGGAACTCACTATGTAGCCCAGGCTGGTCTCAGACTCACAGTAGAGCCTCCTGCCTCAGCCTCCCAAATGCTGAGATTACAGGTGTACACCACCTTGCCCGGCTCTTTTTTTATTTTTGAGCAGCATCTTATTCACTAAATTACTCAGGATGAGCTTGAATTTATGATCCTTCTGTCTCATCCTCCCAGACTGCTGAGATTACAGGCGTGCACTATCATACCTGGCTCCAAATATTTCTTCTATTGATTCTGCTTTGCTTGAAATCTTCTAAGAAATGACTATATAATTGCAAGCTGAAATTACTATGGGGTGGGCTGTGTATGGGAAGATCATTAGAATTAACAAGAGGTTTAACTAAGATATTATTTTATAAAGGAATGGACAGAATTGTATTCTAGTCAATATGGTAACAAAGCTTGATATGGTGTGGTAAAGGCATGTTTTACCTGATTTCACAAATAATCACCATGTTCAACACATGGCAGCTACTATACACAGACCTACTGTTTTGAAGAGATTGGAAAGATGGGCGTGGTGGCGCACAACTGTAATCCCAGCACTTTGGAGGCTGAGGGTGGAGGATTGTCTAAGTCTGAGGCCAGCCTGAGTGACATAGGGAGTTCAACACCAGCCTGAATGATATAGTGAGACCCTGTCTCAAAAAACAAAACAAAAAAAACAAGCCTCACAACTTACTTTATTTCACAGAGAGTCGAGGTAAAATTCCTAATGTGTTTCAAAAATGTACCTGGCACCTAGTAGTGGTTAAATAAATGAATGAAACTATTAATTTGTGTCTCAGTGTTCCATGCTAATAGGAAAGGAGGGTCTGATGGGATTCATGATCTTCACAACTTTCTGTATTAGTGATGTTTTTATTTTTTAAACTGAATTTCAGTGATTATTAATAGTTTTTTAGCTGGGCGTGGTGGAGCATGCCTGTAGTTCCAGCACTCAGAAGGCTGAGGCAGGAGGATCGCTGTGAGTCTGAGACCAGCCTGGGCTATATAGTGAGTTCCAGGTCAGTCTCAACTACATAGTGAGACCCTGTCTCAAAAAAGCCAAAAAAAAAAAATTTTTTTTTTTCATTAAGTTTATTGGCACTTTTTAGGTATACAGTAGTTACATTCATCACTGGGATCTTGTACCTTTATAAGAAGGTACATAAAGGTACCTTGTACCTTTACCTTATTTTTTCCCCCATTCCTCTGCCCTCTCTTCACCCCCTCCACCCCGTCTACCCTTCCCTATTTACAAAGACTTTGTTTCCATTTTTCCCTTTTTTCATATTTTTTCTTTTCCCTTCTTTCCTTTCCCCTACCCTTTCCACTTCCTCTACTCCTTTAGCCCTTTTCTTCGTATTTCACATTATTAATTATACAATTTGAACTTTATCTACTTTGTTTTTCTCACCAGAGAAACTATTCAATATTTTTAATAATAAAGATATTAATAAAGAAAATATAAAATCCATTCTATGAAAATGTAATTTTTCATAATAAAAATTAGAGAACAATGGTAAATATACTGTATCATGATCTAAAAATATATTTTCATTTGCTAATCTCTCAGCTTATTTCCTAATACCTATACCTTTCTTTTTTTGCTTAAAACATTTGAAGTATGTACAAAGTATCTTACATTTTGTATAATTCTGAAGAATTTCTATTTCACATTAAAAATTTTTTTAGTCTTTATTTTGACTTTGTTTCTCACACCACACTGTAAGTTTTTTGATCAAGTTTTAATTATACAGTATTAAGTAGAGCTAAACATTTACAGCAACAGTTTTTTTACTTGCCAGTGTGAAGTTCCAATTTTTTTTT